CTCAATACAACTTTGCAATACACTTAATTTCTACAGTCACTTTAACTTATACATACGCTATAATTCACAACGATTCACGCATTTTACTTACGGTCACTACCGCGCTTGACCCAATTGTCCGTCTCTGTCTCTGCCTGTCTGCAATTATTTCTGCCGTCACTTTAATTTCGGGCTTATATACTAAAATAGAGGACGCGTAGAAAAGACTAGAGTTTTGGGAACAGTCATGATCCTTCTAGAAACCCATGACGTGTTACCAGAGTCACGTGACTATCGCTGTCGTAACAATATTTAAGTACCTAACTCTACAATAGTATTGTTAGGAAGACCGATCAACTGAGAAAAATTACATTTTCTATTCAAGCATTATTTTTATAATATGTAGACGTTTTTCTGGAACACCTTGCGCTCCGAGGCAAATATTCTATCAACGTATGTTCCGAGCTGGCTTCATGGTTAGCGTGTAGGGTTGCGTATCGTAAGATCCAAGGCTCAAGCCAAAATATATTGCTGAACACGGCTAACACTCTGAATTGTAGGGGCGATATAATCGTGGCAGTCAACCCTTCTTTTCGGTTAAAAGTAGCCATGTAGCAGCTCGATATTAGTGATGACTATGAATGAACTATGACCTCTGGACTTGCTGCTTAGCCCGTATGTCGCATACTGCACTGTTCAGTTTGAAATTCTCCAGACACGTTGGTCTTCCAAGCATTATAAATGGATTATGTGCAAAACAAAAATATCGCAGGAAAGCACGATTTACGTAAACAATATGCGATATTTCAACATTGTCTCATAGCAATGTCATAGCTCCCCTTCAGAGAGCATAAGCGAATATATTGCCACCCTCACCCCCCTAGTTACAGTCACGTGAGTTAAAAGGTAAAGTTATAGCTGTCACTTACCATATCATGTTTATGTTAGAAAATAAATTTATTTTTGACATATGAAAAATGGTTGAAAATATATATTCACTAAGTGTTTTAATCACACGTGTCTGTTTTATCGGATATACAAAGCCATATTTATACTATTTATGTACGCTTGTATACAAAGAAATTTAAGGAGACAGAGAGAATGAACAAGTATAATATGGACGATTTGATATACAGATAAATAAATATATAGATAAATGTCAATAACCTACAAATTCCAGATAGTTGTGAACAAGGAATGTACATTTTATTTACACCAAATTTCAGATAGTTGTGAACAAGGAATGTACATTTCATTTACACCAAATATTTATGTTTATTCAAATGGTTATTATTCGCACACGTTTCCAACACTCATCACCAGATTTACAAAATACGTTATTATCGTATTCTGTACTCGTTTCAAACCCTGAATGTTTTAAGTTCCCTTACTGGGGGGAAGGGGAGGGGAGGATCACTAACTATATTGCTGGTGAAGTTCGCTAAGAAGTAACTGAACTGTCCTTAAAAAATAATTTACGATCTAAAAACATTTTATAATAATCCAGGTTGTCTTGATTGAAAGTTGTGATTTATAAAACCGCAATTACTATATCTGTTGAAAAGTAAGTGTGACTTGTGTTATATCTGTTGAAAAGTAAGTGTGTCTTGTACTATATCTGTTGAAAAGTAAGTGTGACTTGTGTTATATCTGTTGAAAAGTAAGTGTGATTTGTGATATATCTGTTGAAAAGTG